TGCCGGGAGTTGGGAAGGACTGCAGAGCATGACATGTTCCAGAGGAGTATCAACACACACGGGGACGGAACATTCCCCTTCCTCTCCCCTCGTGTCTCTGCGTGTTCTTTTGTTTGCGAGACAGATGATTGCCGGCGTAACCCCGCTGTTGTTTATATGGCTCAATTTAGGAGGAGGCTGCACTCAAGTGGAACGCGAGTCACTTTCTGTAACACTATCAGGTTTTCACTCTGGCAGTACAACACCCAGCTGTCCTCATTCCTTACTCTGCGGCTCATAATTGACAAGTCGTTTAAAAGCTTTGTGTACTCAGCCTGGAGAAATTCTCCCAGGCTTAGTCCAGGAAGTTATTCAGGCAATTTCTGAGATGATTTCTGAGAAATCAAGGATGGGTAAGATAGACAAAGAAAAGGGAAAGGAATACTTAGCCTTAAAAAAAGAAGGGAAGCAACTGTGGAACACTTTCAGATTCGTGAGCAGCTGTTTTGGTAGCAGGAAGGATCCCACTAAGTTTGTTTTTTTAGCAGTTGTTTTTTAACCCCAACAGGGGATAGTGGTGAGCAAAAATCAGTGTAAACTTCTCACAGAAACAGTTGTACCAAACTGTTGGATGAGGGAATCCTCCTGGAGCTGGTTACTGCTTAATATTTCCTTTAATGACTTCAAGCTGCAGTTTGGTGGCACTTGAGCCTGTTTTATGTTGGGATCGGTTCCTGCTCCATGTGCTAGGCGTATGCTGGCACAAGGAGGGAGCAGCAGCCAGGGCAGGCACAGAAACACAGTGACATGAGTTCTGTCAGCAGCAGTGTCAGTAGCTGCTGGTTACTATTGAGCCAGGATCTTGGATTACAGTAAGGAAAATGCTGGTGCCAGTTGGGAAGGGGAGTGAGCACTCTGGGAACAGCATTAAACTCCATATTCTTAGGGAAAAAGAAGTCATTTAAAATTAATCCAATGCATCACTACAAAATCCATAATAACCTCCTTGTCAGACTTAACAGTGAGGGCTGTGATCAGGTCATAAACACAATAATATGAACAAAGGGATGCTACACAGAAATAATCTGTTAATGTATTCATAGTTTTAACATCTCAATAATTGTAATAGGAATCACATGTGAAACTTGGGTCTTTGTTGTCCCTCTGTCCAGGGCTGTTGAGGTTTCAGTTCTGAGCTGCAGGCTTTAAAAATAATGACGTGACTGATGGGAATTTAGAAAAGAGCAAAAATAGTAAAGAACTTTAAAATCATCTAAGAAAGGATAATAGAGCTGGGTTTGCTCATTCTGGAAAATACCTGAGGGCACAGTAACTGCTCACAGGAGGTGATGGTTCATTTCCAGGTGCAAATGAGTCTTTTCCTCACATTTCTGGAGGTGCTTTGGTTAACTAAAACTCTGGAGCAGCTCTCCCAGGCCATTGTGGAATTCTCCCAATGTGGGATTGTCACTTCAACTTGTCCCTCAAAGTAGAGGATGGGGCAGGCAATCTCTAGAGATCCCACCAGTGCTGGGTACATATTTAACAAAAAATCTGGTGCAGAAGACACAGGATTTCCAGATATGGATAGACTTCTGCTCCTGTCCCATCCTCCTCCTGCCACGTGTGAGCTCCAAGGCAGCGACAGCCCGGAATTTGGGGTGAGAAAGTGTCGGGGTTTTGCACATCCTGTGCTGTTGCTCATCTCCTCCTCAGCTCGTGTTGGAGCTGCAGCATCCTTACAAGGCACTACAAGTCATTCTCACCATTTCCTGCCCTTGTATCTCCCATCCTTCCTGCACACGTCCTCATTCCCTTCCCAGGAATGACGAACATTCTCTGCCCAGATTTTCTAGCCTCTCCTTTGGGATCTCCTTTGCCCAGGGTGAGGGGTGTTCCCTGGCCGGGCACTGGGCTGGGACGGATGGATGGATGGAGGGACAGATGGATGGATGGATGCTGGAGGCTGAGTTGTGGTACTCACACAGGATTCAGGAGCTGCCTCACAGGGCAGGCTGCAGAGCTCTCGTTCTTCCCCTTGGTGCTGCACAAGCTGCTTATCACGATTTTATTTTAAAGGAAGTTTTAGTCTAGAGGGAAGGAGATTTCTCAGCATTTTGTTAAAGGACTTTGGTTCTTCATGTTCTGATCAATTTTGCCTCAGAGAACTGTGTAAAAACTTTTACGTGTCCCTGCTTTCTTCTGTCTCCTGTTCCTTCTTCTGCTCTCACACCACTTTCACAACATTGCATTTCTCATTCATTGCAAGAGGGTTGCTAAATGAAAAAACCAAAATCAACAGCGGAATAAAACATCTACATGTCCATTATTAAAGTTTATAGTATTCTTTTGTATTTATAGTTCCATACTTCTTGGAAACTAATTGTTAGTAAAGATGGAAATCAGTGGCTTTTAATGCCTATTTTAATGTATTTACATAGAATTTCTGCAAGCAAACAGCCTGAGGAGGTGTCACAGAGCCCAGCAGGGTACATAATGGAGTTAGCATTTCCATGATTCCAATGTCATGGATGTGTATTTTTGGGGACTTCTGGTTTTGTTGCTTGGTTAATATTTTATTTTGGTTTAACTTTTCCTCAGAGCTTTTATATTTCACCTTGTGAAATATAAAAATTGCTTGTTGCCAGTGATAGATGAATCTTTTTTTGTGCCTTTGGACTTTGCGGCAGGGAAGTAGAAGGGAAGATACAACTTTGCACTGAGGATCTCCCTGAAACAGGAAACAGAACAACAACAAAATGGCCCAAATCCTCACAGCAGCAAACACATTTATATTTAATTTCATTCTTCATTTGGCAGAAAAAAAAGATAATAAGTTTTGTTACCGTAAATCATAAAACGAACGGGGCCAAGATACCCTTAGAGATTGAGAATTCTCTCAGCCCAGGAGCTGAGGAGCTCAGGCCAGGCAGGAAATCCGAGGCTGTTCCCCATGAGGACAGAACGTCCTGTGGTGTCCCCAGAGTATCGGGTACACCACAAGCAGCCAACGGGTACTCGGTGCCTCTCCCCCGTGTGCTATAGATGGGGCACAGTATGGGCCCTGTATGAGCACATCACGTCAGCTTTCCCTTCTCCTGCTCTCCGTGAGCCCAGCGTTGGGGTTTTCCTGGGAAAGCTTCGGGAACGCACAGTTCCAGCTGTGGTTGGGAGCCCACGGGCCTGTCCCGCCCTCCAGGACAGCACAGCTCTGTGTTTGGGACGTGCTGCTTTGGCACCAGCAGGGATTTAAAAGCAGATAAACTTCCAGTTTGTGCCCTCCAGATAAGTGTGGTCGAATGGCAGAGCCTTTTCAGCATCCTCTGGCCCCCACCTTTTGGATTCTCCTGGAGGTGACGTCCCCAAGCTACTCCGGTGCCCACTGAGGTTTTCAGCACTGGGCTGTGGAATTTGTGATGTTTTATGGTGTTGGGGTGTCAGGTTCCTGCTGTGAGGGTGTTCTGAGTGGCTGGGTGTGCTCTGGAAATGGGAGAAAATCCTGGAATGGTTTGGGTTGGAAGGGACCCCCAAGTGCCATGGGCAGGGACACCTTCCACTATCCCAGGTGGCTCCAAGCCCCTGTGTCCAACCTGGCCGTGGGCACGGCCAGGGTTTGTATCCAGATGGTTCTCCACTGAGGGACACTCCACACCCTCTCTAGACACTACAGCCAAGCTTTTCTCATCAGCCCAGGGCTGTGTTCTCTATAGCCAAGGTTTCCTCAAAAAAACAGGGCTGCATTCACTCCAGCCAAGGCTTTCCACCCTTTCTGCAGCCAGCATCCAAGTGTGCTGCTGGGAACTGGAGGGACTGGAATCTCCTCACTCCCACTCGTGGGGTGCATCCAGGAGGGGCTTCCTGACAGTCACACCTGGCTGCAGAGAGTTCCTCGGGCAAAGCTCTGGTTAACAATGGGCTAAATCATCCTTTGTGTGCTGTGTTCTGTCATCAGGTGCTGTGTGGCAGCCCTCAGCTGAGTTCTCCGCTGGAACCGTGCCCTGACACATCCCAGGGAACTGGGGAGCTCGGGAAGGGCTGCTGGCCCTGGGCTGGGGTTTGCAGGCTCTGGGAGTGTGAGAATGCCTTGGGATTCATCCTTCTGCTTCCTCCAGGCTGCCGTGCCTTCAGCTACCTGAGCTCCCTGCCGTGACTCAGGGATTATCCCAGGGCATGTTTTGAATGAAGCAACCTCCTGGTTTTACTCCCAGCCTGCTTCTCCACTGTTCATGTGTTCAAAGCAAGCACAGGGATTTTTATTTTGCAACTGTGATTTTACGGGCAGAGAGCAAATAATGATGTGAACAGTGTGGCTCAGCATTACCATCTGTATTGCTTTGGGGTAGATGCTGATTGAAAATTTGGCTCATAATACACTTTTTTTCTTTTAAAAGAAGTGAAGTTTCCACTGAGACCTTTTAAAAATCTTCCTTTGACTAAGGCAAATATAAATTTCGATCTGGTACCTCCTCGTTTTGCATATACATCAAAAAGACTCCCCTTTCTTCCTCAAAAATCAGTGGTGTGGTTTGAGTCATCATTTCTTTTTGTGCAATAGGGATTGACTGACTGATGTGTCAGAAGAGGGACACACAGGATGAGAGACATGAAAATAATGTGAGAGGAGTGAAACAAAAAAGAAAGTAAAATTGGGTAATAAGGTAGAATAAATCAACATACAGAAATACTTTAAGACCACCCAGCTGCAGTGCAAGGATTTATTTTTTTTCTTGACTTTTATGTTTTCAGCTACAAGTTTAATTTGGACAAATACAGAGTTTTTTGGTTTTGAGCAGTCCTTGCTGAAGCAATCTCAGTCCTGACAGATGCACCAAGAGCTGTGGACCAAGGAGCACAGGGTGTTGTGAGGAATTTCTCAATGGAAAGGGCTGTCCAGCCTGGCCCAGCTGCCCGGGGCACTGTGGGGTCCCCATCCCTGCAGGGATTTATCAGCCCTGTGGATGTTGGGGGTGTGGGTGCTGTGGGATGGTGCCCTCGATGCTCCTGCAGGGCTTTTTTAGGGTTCTGTGGTGAGTGATCCGTGTGCTGGGTGCTGTAATGTCAAAGCCCTGCCAAATGAGAGAGGAGCTCACTCTTCCAAACAGGAATCCAGCTCTCCATGCTGGGGTGTTTGTGGCTGGAATGTGAAATTCCAGAGGAGAGGGGTGGTGGTGCACAACCTGACACACCCTGGAGTTATTTGGTCAAGTGGTACAAATTCCTGTCTCATCATTCAAAAGGCTAAAAATGGTCCAGACCACCAATTTCTTTTCTTTTTTTCCTTACAGCTTATGCTCTACAGATGAAACTGAGTCAGACAGATGTAATTTGAGTGATTATCCCTCTTGGCTCAGTCCTCCCCTTGCCTTGGTAGCTAAAGAAATCTTTGTAACCAGGGGATAATATTTCCTTCCAAAACCAACTGCAGAGTGGAAACTGTTCCCCCAGATGCTTTACAGCATCTGTGCATCACTCACAACTGTAGCTCAAAGTCTTATGGATAAATATCTTCCCAGATCAAGCACTTTGTCCTCAGCAAAACTGGTTTTTTAATTCCTAATTGATTTTTTCTGTTCACTGTTTGTCCTCAGTGCTCACTCAGTACATGCAAGTCCCCTTTCTACTCAGAGCTCTGACAGTTTCCTTTTCTATTCCTTTCAAGCTGTTTTTCCCCTGATTTTTTCCTGCTTTGAAGTTAAAATGGCAACAGTGTTTTTATCAAATGGAAACAGTGAAATATGAAATTTGAAACCATGAATTTGTATTTGGTACTCATCCTTAGTGGTTATTCAGCAATCTCACTGTTCCAGAAGAGGTAATTTGTAAGCATAAAAACTGATGAGTTTGTTTCCTACAGACTTAGTGAAATGGTTGGTCAACTTTGGTGTCTAAGAGACAAGGTCTAGTGGAGCTAGATAAATGGAATGGAAAACGATTTATTTATAAGGCTGCCAGGGGCCAGGGATAGATGGGATATTGGAATTCCTGGGTCAGATGGGATATTGGGAAAGAATTGTTCTCTGTGAGGGTGGGCAGGCCCTGGCACAGGGTGCCCAGAGCAGCTGTGGCTGCCACTGGGTCCTGGCAGTGCCCAAGGCCAGGCTGGACAGGGTTTGGAGCACCTAGGACAGTGGGAAATGTCCCTGCCATGGCTGGGGTGGGACCAGGTGGGCTTTAAGGTCCTTCCAACCCAAACCCTTCTGTGATTCCATGAGAGAGGAGCCTTGGATTTAGGATGGGGGATCAGGTCAGTGCCTTCCTTGCTCTATTCACTTTGATCTGGGTCCTGTTAATTTTAATCTGTCCTGAACAGATGTGCTGGGTTTAAAAGAACTGTGGCTGGCATCACTCAACGCGTGCCAAATCCATTCCTGGTGTCAGGGAACTGTTCCATGTATTAAGGTGGATATTTGGAAGCTGTTCAATCTGTACACTTATTGCAGTGCTTGCAGGGTAATTATTAATGTGCAGAGCAAGGTCCTGATTTACACAGCCTCTCCTATACTGTGGTTTTTTGACTCTGTAGCAAATACTGTACAAATCCAACCTGATCAGAAATCCTCCCAGATTTTCATTTCACCTGAGGAATGGATGGGAAGGAGAGCACTTCCAGCTGAGCCCAGACAGGGAGTATTTGTTGTTCTATGACTTCATTTATTTTGAAATTCAGTAACAAAACTGACTTTGAAAATGAAGACGTTTTGGTACTTGCACAAACCCTTTTCAGACCCCTGGAGATTCTATCTTGTTTTTGATGGGAGAAGCAGTGAAAGTTCTCAGCTGTTTGTGTGAGCAGCAGCAGTGGCTGTGCTGCACAGAGCACCGTGTCCTCTCTGTGATAAAACCCCCTCCTGTGCTCCCTGCACAGCTCGTTTTGTCCTTTTCCAGTGCTTTGGAACTTTGGGGTACTTATCCTGAAGAACAGTTTCAGGTTTCCAAGCACAGACTGCAGCTGCCAGGAAAAATAAACTTGTATTTTCAGCTCCTTCAGAGCAGCTCTAACCAGGGAGGGGTTTTAAACTGGGGCAACATTAAGAAATTGGGAAATAAAGCTTGTCCAGGGCACTCTGAAACACTGTTTATATCAATCTATAAATTCCTAAAGGTTGTTGTATGAGTCTTTAATTTATAATTTTTGAAAGCTCTTTCCTCTGGATAGGGTTTCTTTCTGTTTATCCCAATGTCTCTAAACATAAAGTTTTTTTTCTTCTTCTGGAAAAACAAAGTTTCTTAATTGGAATTAAACTGTTTGAGCAGGTGCTTGTGTGTTCCCTGCTTCAAGGTTAATAAGTGGATCAGTTGGAAAAGTCTGTTTCCCAGTTTAACAAGTGGCCTTTCCATTGGATGGGTGTTACATGCTCTGTGTTTTGTAATCAGTCCTGAGTCCTTCATTCCTGGCAAAGGGGCTACAGATTCCACAGCACCCCAGTGCCATGGACACCACAGCAGCATCACTCAGGAATTATTTTTGTTAAGATTGTGGATTGCATCACTTTAATCACTGTCCCTCATCTTGCCTCCTTCACTTGGATGTGAGTTGTTGGAAACCCACAGAAATAACATTTATCTGGTAATCCCAGATTCATTAATGAAATAGCTTTACAAAACACAGTTCATTTCATTTTCCATGAATACCTCCAACCTAACTTAGAATTACTTTAGCATTTCAGTGGGAGTTCCCACATATCAAATTGATGTATCTTGGGAAGTTGCCAGGAAGGAAAAGTGCTGCTCTAGCTGGGGTTTGCTAATGAAGATTTTTGTCTTTATTTGTTAAAGCAATAACATCATCTGATCTTAAATGTTCCAGAGCATCAAATGGTTTGAATTGTTTGGATTTATTATTATTTCTTAGCATGACTGGGTTTTTTTTTTTTAGTGGAACCTGTTTCTCTGAGACAATCTGAAGCATTTTCTCTCCTTGCAGATGTCCCGGGAGCAGACAGTGTGCAAGTACTGCGGAGTCAGCTACCTGACACTGCACGAGTTCAAGGTGATGGAGGACAAAGTCAGAGCCATGGAGAAGGAGATGAAAGTTTATAAGGGAAGCCTGGAACGGGAGCAGAGGCTTCAGGCAGAATTGCAGGCTCTCCACCACGACCTTGAGCGCTGCCGGGCTGAGAGCGAATCCAAAACCGAAAGGTCAGAGCTCATCATCTCCTCTGGTGATCCTCTCCTGTGTGTGGCAGGGAATTTCAGCCCAAAGCAGCTTAAAATACAAATAACATTTGTCTTTCTTTTCTCAGATGGCCCATATGCACTGTAATACTTGATTTAAATAATCTTTCCTAGTGTCCTGTGGATGCAGGTTCAGAATTCCTGAGCAGTTTAGAAGTGGTCAATATGGGGAAGGTGAAGCAAAGGCCAGAAGGCACTCAGAGGCATTTCCCCTGCACACACTCCCCAGGGGAATTGATGAATATCTCATCATCTTGTCATAAATCTCTAATATTCCCAATGAAATTCCACAGGACTGGGAGTTCCACAGGTCTGAAATTTGGGCTGACTGTCTCACAATAAAGAATTCCCAGTGTTTTTCCCTGGCAGTCTCAGGATTCCCTCTCTGCAGGGCTGGTACAGAACCCCAAAGCAATGAGGATCAGTTTGGGAACTGCCAGGGACATTTTGCTTCACAAACAGGAGGTTTCAAATCCTTACAGAGATGGGAAGGCCCCAGTTAAAAGGGAAGTTTTGTACCATAAAACTCCAGTAATTAATGATAGATCTCAGAGCCACATTTGGATTTTCAGGGCACAATTAGGACCTTTAAGTGTGTTCTTTCAGCTTATATTTACAGGGTTTGTATCCTTTTCTATGCACATATTTTGGAATCTATTGTTATAGTCCATTAATTGATTACAGTAGGACTATAAATAATTGATGTTTTTAGTCAATTAATAAAATATACTTTATAAAAATGCTGTTTGCTTGAGTTTTCTAATGATGGATTGAGGCTAACAAAAGCTCCTGGCTAACCTTGTGCTCATCTGACTCAAACAGAAGTTTTTTGTAAGGATGAGGTTCTAATTTTAATTATCAGTCAGTTTGACTTTTGGGATTCCCAGGAGGGGTGTTCCTTGTGTGACTGCCTCACACCAAGGGATTTAGAGCTGAAGGTACTCTTGAGATTGGACTGAAATACTTTGGAAACCTGCTTTTTTTGGGAGAATCACTCAAATACTGTTTAAAAATTAACTTAATGGATTTAGTTAGGATTTTGCGTGCTAATATTACTAATAAAAGATTAATTTTAGATCACAAGTTCCCACGAAAGTGAACAAAATGCATTTATCTTGTAAATTACTCATGTTTCTTGCAATATCTTTTTCCTTTAATTTTAACATCTCCCACCCCTCCTTCCCAATATTTAATATTTTCTGTGGTTTAACATCTATTTTTAAAGCTTGTTTGCTCCTTGTCCCCTTAACGACCCTGGGTGGCAGCTCTGGTGGCAGTGTGTGAGCAAATGCACTGACAGCACATTCTTCTTGTCGAGGATCATTCGCCAGAGCTAAACTTTAAATTTTCATCAGGCTGACTTTTTGTAGTAAAGCTGGAACACTTAATAAAATTTTTATCTCTGCACTTTTCCCCCCTAAGGCTCCACTTGATTTAAAAGCTGCTGAAATCAAGCGGAGTACTTGCAGTAGGTTTCCATTCCAGCCATAAATCAACCATTGTGCCTTGTTGAGAAACTTGCCTGGATATTCCTTATCTCCTTGCTGTCCTGGGCCTCTCTGACTGCCTTGTGCTGTGGTATAAACTCTTCAACATCCTGGGTCTGCCCAGGCTGACAAATCACTGCTCCCAGAAGCCAAACATGCCTTTTTCTTACTTTTATCTCTGCTAGACCAAGGGGTTGAATCTCTTATCAGCTGCAGACTGTTTCAGGTTTCTGTTCCCTCCAGGTTCAGGTATATCCTTGAAAGGCACCTGGGAGTTTGCCTGTCCTCAGTTACCTTTCCTTTGGGATCCTGGCAGGAGGAGGGGAACCAACTGCACTGATCCCACTCAGCTTATTCTGTGTTAGAATCACTTCAGTCTTGATAATTAATCAAATTATTACTAATTGAATTAGCAAGATTCAGTGTAGGAAATGTAAAATAGCTGTAAATGCTCAAGTGCCACATGCACACGTGCCTTGAACACTTCCAGGGGTGGTGACTTCACCGCTTTGTGAACTGAAAATGAGCAGCTCCCAGCTGTGAAATGAAAGTGAGCAGCTCCTGGCTCTGGGCAGCTCCAAAGTTTCATGGCAGTGAAAATGCTGGGGTGGAGTTTTTTTCCCTGGACAGAGTGTTCCAGGCTCCCGTGTGCATGCTGTCCTTGCTGGCAGTGCCAGTGCTGCTCCA